TTGTATTTTTTTAGTAGAGACAGGGTTTCACCATGTTGGTCAGGCTGGTCTCAAACTCCTGACCTCAGGTGATCTGCCCGCCTTGGCCTCCCAAAGTGCTGGGATTACAGGTGTGAGCCACCACGCCTGGCCTCATGGACACTTTCGAGATGATGAAAATGTTCTGTGATTGACTACAGTGAAGGTTGCACAATTCCATGAATTCACCAAAAGCTGTTGAGTGTACACTTTTAGTGGGTAAATTGTGTGTTGTGTAAACGCTCTCAAAGCTGCTAAGGCCGGGCATGGTGGTTCACGCCTGTAATCCCAGCACTTTGGGAGGCCGAGGCAGGCAGATCACCAGGTCAGGAGTTCAAGACCAGCCTGGCCAACATGGTGAAACCCCATCTCTACTAAAGATACAAAAAATAATAATAATTAGGCGAGTGTGGTGGCACACGCCTGTAATCCCCGCTACTTGGGAGCCTGAGGCAGGAGAAGGAGAGGCTGAGGCAGGAGAATCGCTTGAACCTGGGAGGTGGAAATTGCAGTGAGCCAAGATTGCACCATTGTATTCCAGCCTGGGCAACAGGGCGAGACTCCTGGGTGACAGGACGAGACTCCGTCTCAATAAATAAATAAATAAATAAAATAAAATAAAATAAAATAAAATAAAATAAAATAAAATAAAATAAAACAAATGAATAAATAAAGCTGCTAAAATGAAGAAAAGGAAGAAAAAATCTGTTCCTCCTGCCCCCTACCCCCACCTCCCCTGGGCTTTGAGCTGCCGTCTCTAGAGAACATTTGGAACAGGTGTCTGGGAACATCTAACAAAATCCCAGTGGCTTCTCCTTGCCTTGTGGGTTATTGATACTGCCCCCTTCCTCCATGAAATGAAAAGTGACATAACCCTAAAAACCAAAAGGACCATAGGGCCCATTAGGCAATCTCAAGAGAGCCGCCTGCAAGGGAGGGACGTGTGGCAGCAGACCTGGAAAGAAGGAGGCCAAGCAGAGAGGGTGCAGGTTGCCAGGATAGAGCCTCTGCCCCGCCACTCACTGGGCAGCAGTGGAGCTGCCTCTGCCTGTATCATCCCCATTGTGTGAATGCGGAAGCTGAAGCAGAAGCAGTGATACAGCAGAATGAACAGTCTTACGCACCGTACATGGACCAGCGAGTTATTCCACTTGGTGTCTGTATCACCCAAAGGGCCCAAAGGGCCTGGGCTTCTTGTGAGCTTTTTTCTCTTAAAAAAAATTGCGGGGCTGGGCACGGTGGCTCACACCTGTAATCCCAGTACTTTGGGAGGCCAAGGCGGGTGGATCACTTGAGTTCAGGAGTTCAAGACCAGCCTGGGCAACATGGCAAAACCCCGTCTCTACTAAATATACAGACAGGCTGGCTGTAGTGGCACACGCCTGTAGTCCCAGTTA